TTCAGTGAAAGTGCCGTTTGTGTGTGAAAAATGCAAAAAAAAATCACTTTCACTGACAATATTATTATTATTATTATTATTATTGCCATTTATATAGCGCCAACAGATTCCATAGCGCTTTATAATATTATGAGAGGGGATTTAACTATAAATAGAACAATTACAAATAAACTTACAGGAACAATAGGTTGAAGAGGACCCTGCTCAATCGAGCTTACATTCTATAGGAGGTGGGGTGTAAAACACATTAGGACAGGAATTTGCAATCAAATAAGGTGGGCTGCCCTTTAGGAGAGGGCAAGAGACAGGTATGTGAGGTAGGGGTTAGTTTTGGAGGCCATAAGCTTTCCTAAAGAGATGGGTTTTAAGGCACTTCTTAAAAGATGCAAGACTAGGGGAGAGTCTGATGGCGGGAGGCAGGCTATTCCATAGGAAGGGAGCCGCCCGCGAGAAGTCCTGCAAGCGCGAGTTGGCCGTACGGGTGCGGACAACAGACAGGAGGTGGTCACAGGCAGAGCGGAGAGACCGAGAAGGGACATACCTATGGATCTGTGAGGAGATATAAGAGGGGCTAGAGTTGTTCAGTGCTTTATAGGTGTGAGTTAGTGCCTTGAATTGACTCCTATAGCACACAGGAAGCCAATGTAAGGACTGGCAGAGGGGTGAGGTGTGAGAGAACCGACTAGAGAGGAAAATCAGTCTAGCAGCAGCGTTCATTACAGACTGTAGGGGTGCAGTACGGCTTTTGGGAAGACCAAGCAGGAGAGGGTTACAATAATCCATGCAGGAAATTACTAGAGCATGGACAAGCTCCTTGGTAGTATCTGGTGCAAGAAAGGGGCGGATGCGGGCTATGTTTTTAAGATGGAATCTACAGGATTTGGCAACATGCTGGATGTGAGGCTCAAAGGTGAGACCAGAGTCAAGTATGACGCCAAGACAGCGCACTTGCAAGGATATCATCGCTGTGATATGTTTTACTGTTTTGAAACACTAATATTTGTGTTCAGTGAAGTCTCCCGAATAAAACAGTACCCCCCATGTACAGGTTTTAGGGTGTCATAGAAAGTTACAGGGTCAAATATAATGGTCAAATATTTTACAGCACTAGCAAATTAAATTCTCTCGACTTTCGGCCTGTCAGGCAGGTCCCTCAAATTGCAACCAATAAAATTACTTATTTATGTAAAAATATTACATAGATACGCACATAGAATTTAAATATATATGCATGTTTATATATTTATGAAATTATTTATGTAATTTTGGATATGAATATATATATTTCATAATATTTTGATTTATTTATATATACATAGATGTATATATAATTTCATTCTAAGTGTATTTTGATATAAATATATATATATATTTATTAATATCAAAATACAGTTAGAATAAAATTTCATATATATATAATTTTTTTAAAAAATTTCAAATTAATTTTACGTTTTTTAATTTATTTTAATTTACTTCTTATTTGTAATTTATAATATATATATATATATATATATATATATATATATACACACTATATAGTTATTATATATATTATATATATATACATGTGTAATTTAATTATAAGTGTATTTTTATATTAATATATGTATATATTAATTTAAAAATACACTTACTATGACATCATATATATATAAGATATATAGATATATATTATATAGATATGATATATGTCTATATATCTTATATATATATTTATTTATATATAATTATAATCCCCAGGCAGAAACATGGACAGCTATTGTGGCCATTTGACCGATCTGTTGAGCGATCACATGGCTGCGGGGTCCTGATTTGCCGTGGGGAGACTGCTTGGGCTGCAGGCAGTCTCCCCACACCGGGAGAAACGCTGACCGGGTGAGTAAGGATTTCCGTTATGACTGTTCAGGATCGTCACCTGTCCTCAAGGGGATTTTTCCGATGACGGCCCTGAACCGTCAGCGGTCGGGAATGGGTTAAATAAAGTTTGTGTTTTGTAACAATACACACCTCAGCAATGGTATCATTTTGACATAGTGCTGTTCAAGTACTCTCTGAGTTTATTGAACTCTCTCCTTGTGTTTTGTTTCCTAGGGCTGTATGAAAATTATCCAACCAATGCAGAACCAGAATGCTGTGATGTCAGGTGGGAATTATTAGCAGATAACCAATCCAAAGGGACTAAAAAACCACATGACTCAACGTTGTGTCACAGGACATCACTCACAGTGTCATCAGCATCCAGACTGTGTAACAGCAGACTTAAACTGTGTGTTCTTGTACTGATACTCTTACATACAGTACTAGTAGTCTCAGCAGCACAAAACTCAACAGGACTGGGTTTTGGAAATATAACAATTTTGGAAGACAATTCAACAAATGAGGAATAGAAGAATGGAATTATTTCACTGGATTAAAACACAGTTGGCCCATTCCAGCAAACAACATCAGCACCTTGTAATTGAAATTAGGTGCTTGTACCTTACAACCAATTTTTACAAAGCAGTCTGGATTAAAACAAAAAGATGGGTCAGTTTCCAAACTTCATGGACACAAAGGGACAGCTTTTTATTGACTAAAAAGCTGTGTGATGACTTAAATTTCTCACACCATTTTATACACTGTGTTTTAATGTTTGGATTTGTTTTTTGTTTGATTTTGCACTTGTTAATACAGGATTTTATTTTTGAGATGGTTTCTCAAAGCTAAAATGAGTCTTTTCACTGTCTATATATATTTCTAGTCATTTTGTGTACTCATCTTTTATGTCCTGTCAATTTTTACTCTTCAGATATGAGTGCTATGAATAGATGCGCAGCAAACCATGATAAAAATGTTACTGTCCATTCTATCCTTCCAAACTATTCGTTTACCCATCTCCCCAAACCAAAAACAAAAAACTCAAAACATCTGCTTGGTTCTGTCTTTGTAATCACAATGAATGGGTGCACACCACTACGGTGTGTCTATCACTGATATACAAATCAGCCAACTGGGCAAACCCTATAGATTAGGGTGGGAGAGGGTCAAAACAATAAAAACAGAAACCAACAGAAACCAGAAACTATTTCTTAAACATGTTGGACAGTTACCCAAGTTCTATGTGAGCCTATAACAAACTGTGTTGCTCCAGTTCCCATTTCCAAAATGTCCAGTCTTTTCACTGGTCAGTTGAACAGGAGCAGCCTTTAGAATCCAGTAAGTGGAACCAGTTAAGCTCATTGAGTATTAAAGACAATGACCTTCACATTGGAGGTAATATATGTTGGCATTCATTGTGAATTACGTTTTAATTTCTGCTGCAGTGACCTTTTAACCAGCATACACTTGCATGCATAGGAGTAATGTGAGTGCATCAACTCAGAGTGAGGCCTTCACAAACAGTAGATAGTAAATGTTACTTGGTAAACCAATGATGATTATGGTTCCAGCTCATTAAACAGTATATTTTCAAATATTTCCAAAGTGCAGTCAAGACCCACCTCTTTCAATTAATCTGTACAAGCTATACAATATATTTCATTTAGCACAAGGTATACCCTGAAATAATTCATATGGTTTCCAGATACTTTGTGTCAACATTTCATATATATGCTTATATTGATGTGCCAAAAAGTTTATGGTGAGGCCAAAAATGATAAAACTACCCACAGTGCAAAGCAGAAAATTTAGAGTTGTACATTATATATGCTGTCAGAGAGACTTCAACTTCCAGACCAGAACCAATGCCATTCTGATGAGACCCACAAGGTTGAAACTATACAGTGCATGGCTGGATTCTGGTTACTGGTCCCTTTGGATCAGAGCCCATGCTTTGGTTTAAAAAAGGCTGTGTTTAAAACAACGTCCAGTGCTAAGGGCTTTAGCTATGCAGGTGATTTACAACAGATATATATATTAAACCCAAGGTAGTGGAACTGATTAATATTTATGAAATTTTGCTATACATATTGTGAGCAATACCTCTATCTCAGCTAATCTGGCCTAAAATATGAAATAGCTGATTATTCCCTGTTTAGTAAATAATGAAGCTTTATCACATGAGACAATCCTTAAGAGAATAAGCATCTATGAATCCCGCATGATTCTCAATATTTTAAATATGGAGCAGGTCGGATCCAATTCTCATGAAATGCTGGTCGTTTTAAGAAGTTTTCTTATGAATTCAGGCCATGTAGTTCCTTTGACATCTTGTGGTGTATTGACTAAACAATGAGTTGGGGTTAGTTGACAAACCCATTGTACAATTTAGGCCAAACATTATTGTGTTGGAAAATTTTTGATTCGGCGAAACTTATGCACCTTGATGGTCAGTCTGGTCAACTAACCAAAACCCGCTCTTTAATCAACAAACCAGTTATGAAGTATTCTATATATTCATTGGTAATTCAAGGAAAACATTGTATTCTTATAAATGAAGGTCACCATTATTCAACCGGAATCTTTTATTTAACCTGCCCGGTGTCTACCATAAGGTTTAAATAAAAGGTAAGAAAAAAAAAAAAACAGCTGAAAACCATGCCATTAGCATTCTAATACCGTAATAAATAATGTCTTTTCTTTTTATTTCTTTTTTTACCTATTTATTGTCAGCACATTTACCCACTGAGTGAATGAGACTTTTTTTTTTTTTTTAAATGATTGTTTTATAGTTTACAGCAAAATAAATATATACAAGGAAAAGTTATAAGGGCTGTTAAAACCATTCCTTCCTATATTCTAACTACACTTAGGAAGTGCACTTCAAAGATGTTTGTTGTGTAGCTAGGATTTGAAGGAAAATATATGAGAAAATATTTTCTAAGCAAAGAAATTTTATGAATCCATTACAAAAAGGCCTCCCCTTTTTTATACAGTCAGTTTATCTTCAATCTTTGTTTCATCAACTACCAGAATAACTTAAAGGATGAACCAATACTATGCACTTTTCACATTAATAAAAGTCTTCTGCTGAATTTTTTATCAGAAAAGACAAACATAAATGTGATTGTGGAGGAATATGTACATAGTAGCGCAATAGTTTGAAAATGCACCAGACAAAAAAAAAAATTCAAAAAAATATATTAAATAAAATATATTTGTTTAGTGATATTTTTTCCATGAGTTTCAATTCCATTTTTAAGTTATTAAAAAACATGGTGCTTTTTGTTGGGGACACTATGTAATTTCATCTACATATTGCAAAAACAAGACTTGTAGAATGAATAATAAAATAAAGCCTTAAATAGTGGTAGAATGTAGATTTTAAATAGATAGTGTATTTAAATATAGTGGAGCAATAACTGGATGGTAAGTTGGTTCTGTAGAGAATAAAGATTGCGCGCTGTATAAAAAGCACTTAATAGGTGGGCTCTTGTTCAACTGATCTACTATTTAAGTGTTTATGGTCAGTAATCAGTTTGTTATAACCTTTATCTACCTCTGCTGGGCAAAGGCCATTCAAACGTCCTCTCTTTATGTGATGTGCTATGTATAGTTTGTGCCATTTTAAATTCATGTTCATTGACCATTCACATATTGCACCGCTACAGTACTAGTAGGTTATTTAAACCCATCTCAATAAACTGGTACTTTGAATTCTCAGAATAATACATACAATAATAATTATGGATAATTTGGAGCTATTGTATACTTGTATGATGTATCTGGTAAATAAGACTGTTTTATTTATTTTTTCTTCTGCATTAGAGCATTATTACAATGCGACACAAAGACGCACACACATATATAAGTATATATATATATATATATATACTTATATATGTGTGTGCGTCTTTGTATATATATATATAGAGAGAGAGAGAGCTAGTATGTTTTCTGTATTATACAATTACAGGAGAGGATAAGAATTGCTTTGGAACATGCTAACTTACGTATTTTTTTTACATATAAACATTGAAAAGATTAGGTTTAATTTTTTTGTATTATTATTTTATGTTATTATCTTTCAGCATCACGCGATATACTTGTGCTTAATAAATACAAAATAATAATACAATAATATGTTAATAAATGTAAAACATATAATTATGAAGGGCAACCAAAAGTTTTGCCCTTAAAATTCAAAAATGCCCCTTTAAATACCATAAATCATAAGTGGTCATTTAATATTGTCAAAAAATGGGGTTCACAAACACAAGCTATAGTTAAGAAATTACATATTATCTGACAGCATTACATTTTTTTTAATTACTTGAAAATATGCAATGGCACCTCCCTTTAATTCCTACAAAGGAGTCATCTTCTCCAAACACTAGCATTAACATTTATTTTTAGTTACAGAAGAAAAAAATCAAACAGTCTCAATTACCGAATGGAACATGTGACAAATATACTGCCTTTTTATGTCTGATCGACAATATGTTACAGATCATGAATGCTTATATTTTAATTGTATGTCTGTTTATGTTATCTTCTTTATGTGTTTTGTTTGTTTTACATTCTATGTCTGCTCTATTTATTTATTTATTTATTATGTTCCCTTAAATCCAAGTTAAAGGGATGGCTACTGCTGTATTATGTGTTCTAGTTTAACACAATACTTCCAGTGTAGCAGTGCGGTATGCATCTCCATTTTGGGGACAGCTATAAAACTGCAAGCAAACAAGTACATGCATTTGAAATGAAACAATAATAATCATGTATGCTGCAAATCTCATTCCATCCCTTTGGCATCAGTAACAGTTTAGTGGCACAGATTTGAGCATGATTGTGTTGTATGCATCTTACTTTGCCAGAATGAATTTGCATCTTGCCACCATTGTAACTTCTTCATTTTTCCACGTCCCCTCATGCTGTATGCTTATACATACATGATTAAAAAATGGTTAAAAATCAAAATACAAAACAATATTTCTGCAAGTCCTAATAACGGTTTTATTTTTGTATTCTTGTGGTACAGATTATTACCATGTCTCTCTTTTATGTTTTACTTCTCAGCAATAGGGAAAATCCACATTTTGTGCAATATGTTAAAATCGCTAAGCCAAATGTCATATTACACAATCAGAGCTATATGTTAATATTACTTATTGGCATTAACATTTGGTATTACATTTTTTTCTGGGATTTTTGTTCATTAAAAAGACAGTATTCATTTTTAAAAAAAATATAATAGCTAAAGGGTGTCCTTGCTTATAGCTATATTTCAGAGTTTTCTATCTGCTCAAAATCTGTAAATACAAGAAATCTTACAAGAGATATCTGCTATGTAAAACCACATGGACAAATTATTAAGTTTATATTTATTATTGAGATTTGTTCCACATAAATCAAGGGAAACAATTGTTTTATGCATTGCATTAAAAACCCTGAAATGTATCAAGCAGGAAATGATTATGCAGATTGATTGGGATGTAGGGTACAGAAATCAAGAGAATTTGTAAAAGGTAAGTAGACTTTCATGCAGGAGCATAAAATACCCGGGGCTCGAGACCTAAACAAAATTTGGGGAACCCTCCTCAAAGCCCAACACCTGGTCTGTCACAAATTCCTCAACTGCAATGTATGACTGGCAACACACTCATGGATGCATACATAAACACACACCTACAGTTGTGTATTTACAGACACACACATACACAGATACATTGATAAAGACATATGTACAAAGGCACACACATAAAAACAAGCACACACACATCACCTCAACACAAACACACACTGACAGATGTAGACAGGCACAGATATGCAGGCACATAAATACATACACAGACACACATACACATATGCAGACAGACATGTACAGGCATAGACAGCGACATACGGACACAGGCATATGCAGAAGAACACAGACATACATAGACACATGTAAACACAAACAAGGGTACAATCAGACAGGTTCATAAAGGCATAAACAGGGACACACAGACAGGCATACTCAGACACAGGAACACATAGACAAGCATACACAGACACAGGGAAACACAGATAGACACAAACAAGCATACGCAGACACAGATACACACCTGAGCACACTACAAAAAACTACAAACTGATCTTGCTCTTCAAGTAACTGAATCTGTGCACTAGTGTACTGCTTCCACTCCTGCCTCAGATTCAACATAGAGAACATAAGGGGGAGCCACATGGGAGTAAAAACACATATATGGGGCCTGACATCCCCGCCATCACACAAGAGATACGGGATTGCAGAGCTCCTTATTTGGGGCCCCTACATATCTTTGCCTGCAATGCACAGGCTACTACTTATAAAGTGGAAACAAATTTGGCTTGAAGCTGAAGATTACAATGATTCTTATGGTTTAATTTTTTTAATAAAAAGTTATGTAATGCTTTAGGATTTTTTAAACAAGTTATAGGTCTGGTTAAAGTGTAAAAAATTATTATAATCAAAACTATTTTTTTCTATATTGCAGAAATAGTTAAAAACCCTATTCTTTGTGGGCATGTTGATGTTTGCTATTTCTTAAACTGGTGAAATCATACGCACCTTAACTATTTGGACACTGGGTCTTTTCCACGTCTCCCTTGTGAAAGCGAAGCCATAACACTTGTTCCCATGCTGTCCTAATATGGTGGCATATTATTGGTCCTTAGAGTGGCCAGGATTAATGTCGTGCCTATAGGAGGCAAGAATAACCAAGTCGAGAAAAAAAGCCAAAGTCAGGTGATCCAGAAATACACAAGACTAATGCTAAGCAAGGTATAGGAGTACAAAGATCAGGATAGTAAAACAAGCCACGTAGATATACCAGAAAACACAATGAGCAAAAAAACACGCTATTGGGAATCACAAATAAAGCAATAACACAGAATTCTAAGGAGGCTACATCATGGAGGAGGATGTATCATCCCTGCGCACCCAGAAGGTGAGTGTGCGTCGATTTCAGAATGATGCAGGACTGGACATCAAAATTGATCCCTAAACGTACTTTGGTCTTTGCTCCTCGTCATGCAAATGTGTAAAGCAAATATAGCATGTCTGTACTTGGTCTTGGCCCAGGGCCAAAAATGTATCCAAATATGACTTTTTAAAAAAGAACACAGAGCTACAGGCAACCTTAACCCCCCAATTTAGAGGTGCAATACATAACAAGACTCTGAAGATGATGGTTTGTGTTAAAATATGGGTCACTCTCGCAGATAATGTTTCTTCTCCCCTACTGTTTACATATATTCCAATAAGGTTCAGGGAAAAGGAAGAATATAGAACAATATTTTTTAAAAGCTGTGAAGATTCTGCCTTCAAGGTTCAAGGTCACACGTTTATTACCCACATGACAATAAGATGATGTCTATCTTGAAATTCTAAAAAGTTTACACAGTGATTTGTGATCCTTTGGATGACCTTGACACATGTAAGTTGGTGTATATATTCCTGTTACATGATATAAGATAAACCTACCTTGGCATATGTAGGTTATGATTATATTTGTCAACATCTACTAATCTTTTCCTCAGTTATCCTACGTCTGGGGGGTGCATTGCAAGAATAGGGCCATTACGTTATGTCCATGTTTTTACAGTCAAGGGCACACCATTTGCAGATACCTGAGAGGCTGGAGTGTGTTTTGAAAGTTATGAACTTGCCCTTACTTTATATTTAAAATATATAATAATGGTGGCAAGGGGTTTCCCTGTCTTCTTAGTTGCTAGGTTTTCCCTCCACGCTCTTCTCTGTAGGTTTAATTTCTCTCACAGTGACAGTTTGCCTGAGTATTCCATGTGAGGTTACTTGGCAACCAGCACGTGCTTGTCATTTGCTTTCACACAATGCAGGAGACATACTGAGCTGAAAGTGTAAGTTAATATTCGTCTGTTAAGAACACAGCTTTGACAGAAGTTTAGCCTGCATTACACTTGTGCATGAATGCCTTTCACTAGGAAATGGAGCATGATATGATAAAGCCCTGAAGGGGTTAACTGCTTTCTGTGCTTTGTCACTCCCCCTCAACAAACAGAGACCATTTTAATGGTCTATTTGCCTTTTTTCATGGTGGCAGTGGCCATTTTGAGATATGAAAATCTTATAAAGTATGTTTAGCTATTGCATCAGGTTTAACTCCATAATGACCAACAGAATGAAATTGGTCCATAAGATATAAAAATATTACTGCATCCACAGGTATAATGTAGCCTTGTTAAAAAGTAGAGTTAGTGCTTTATTTCCTTCTCACTACAGCAGGATGTGCATTACAGAGGAAACTCGGAAATAGAGGATAAAACACATACACACACACAAACACACACACATACACACCATAGCACATAGAGACGTACTTTGGCCTCATATTTAAATCACTCTAATAGCAAATGGGCCTTTGCAGCTTTATTAATGTTATTATTATTATTATTATTATTATTATTATTGGCATTTATATAGTGCCAATATATTTCATAGCGCTTTACAATATTATAAGAGAGGGAGATTTAACAATAAATGAGACAATTACAAAAACTTACAGGAACAATAGGTTGAAGAGGACCCTGGTCAAACAAGCTTATAGTCTAGAGGAGGTGGGGTAAAAAAACAAAAAAACAGGAGGACAGGAGAGTAGCAGTCAAACAAGGTGGGAGTGAAGCAGAGCTGGAGGAGAGAATAGAGTGTTACCCTTTAGGAGAGAGCAAGGGACAGGTTTGTGAGGTAGAGGTCACTCTGGGAGGCCATAAGCTTTCCTACAAAGATGGGTTTTAAGGCACTACGGGTGCAAGCAGCGGACAGGAGAAGGTCACGGGCAGAGCTGAGGAACCGAGAAGGGGCATAGCTATGGATCAGTGAAGAGATGTAAGAGCGGCTAGAATTGGTCAATGCCTTATAGGTATAGATTAGCACTTTGAATTGACTCCTATAGGAAACGGGAAACCAATGAGAGGTGAGGTGTGAGAGAAAAATCAGTCTGGCACCAGCACTAATTACAGACTGTAGCAGGGCATTACGGCTTCTGGGAAGATCAATTATTACAAATGTGCATGTTGTTATGACATTCTGACCTACTAGACACTATTTAAAAAAAAATATTACTGTGGTAAAAGATTTGGGAAATATAAGGTGTGGGCCCTTTGGGGTGTCTTGGAGACCATATATCAGTTTAGCTAGTATCTTAGTGTCTTATAACTACCTCCAGTCCCCTTGTTGATGCATTTAATGTGTTCAGGGACACAAAATGGTTTGTGCCACTGTTATAATACATTAAATAAACAACAACAAAAACGCAAACTCACATTTTATTGGAGTAGATTAGACCTGTACAACATACGGGCCGCCAAATGATTTCGGGTGGCCCACAAGGAACTACTGCTGGTACACTGCATTGGGGCCCGCACACTAAAGGGGTCCATCAGGTGGCCCATGCATTAAGGACCGTCAGGTGGGCATGTGTCAGCAGGGACGACACAGCACGACCTGTCCCCCTTTTTATGGACAGCATGGGAGGAAGTGAGTGAGATGCAAGTCACTTCCTCCCCTAAAAAGATAGGAGCTGCGCAGGAGATAGGAGTAGGCAGTGAGGGGCGAGGGAGATAGGAGGACAAAGGAGAAGGCTGGAAAGGAGAGAGTGCAGGCTGCAAGATCCAGCCCCTCAATCCCAACAACCTCAGGCTGTAGACTGGACACAAGGGAAGCCATCGTACAGCACCCACAATGTTGGAAACTGAAGGGCGCTTATAAAAGTGTATATTTTGACCAGCATGTGTGTGTGTGTGTATGTGTATCTGTATCTGTCAATGTGTTGTGTGTGTGTATCTGTATATCTGCGTGTGTGTGTATATGTATGTCTGTCAGTGTGTGTATCTGTATGTCTGTCTGTGTGTGTCTGTATGTTTGTCCTTGTGTGTATCTGTATGTCTGTCAGTGTGTGTTGTGTATCTGTATGTCTGTCAGTGTGTGTGTATCTGTATGTCTGTCTGTGTGTGTGTGCATATGTATGTCTGTCTATCTGTGTGTGTATCTGTATGTCTGTCAGTGTGTGTGTATCTTAATGTGTCAGTCTATCTATCTATCTATCTGTATGTCTGTCAGTGTGCGTGTGTACCTGTATGTCTGTCAGTCA